CATAATAATGATAATAATCACGACAACAATAAAGCTGTTCTTCTTGTTTCAATAATAACTGACATTGCGGAAGAAAAGGCACTTCGGGCTTAGAAGAGCGAGGCAGGCTCGGGTTCGGTGTTTATTGTCAGCTGATGAGGATGTCGTCGGAGGGACGTCTCCCGAGACGAATGACTGCGAGTCACTTTTGCGGAAGGCAGCACTCGCCTGGTTCTCTAGAGGAGCAGCCAGTCGAGTTGTTTAATGACTTTTGTCTTCGGCTTTTTTTTCCAAGGTTTGTAATAACAACTATGTTTTTTTGTTCACCGGTTTTTTTTTCTCTTTTTAAATTGTTGTCCTAGTGGTCTCTTCAGTGTATTATCCCAAAGAAAATGTTATTTGTCTTCGAGATTTTGCCTCTTGCACCTGTGAACTCGACTACTGGATTTATTGAAAATTTCTGTTTCTCTGACGCGCGTCGTGAATCAATGTCTTGGGCGAGGTTGTTCAAGCGATATATCCTCCGTTCTGAAGGAGTAGAGTGATTTGAGTGAGTGTGTGTGTGTGTGTGTGTGTGTGTGTGTGTGTGTGTGTGAGTGTGTGTGTGTGCGTGTGCGCGTGTGTGGCGAGGGTGGGGGAGTTAACATAAGAGAAGGTACAAAGTAATGAATGTACGGGGGTCAACGAGTAGAAAAACTCAGCATAATTTACTCTCAGCTCCCCCGACCTGGAGTGATTTTGATATTCCTTGCTCAGCTTGTCTCGGAGTACGCTGCGGAGTAGCTCGCTGCTTCATCTGTGACGCCCCTGGCGACACGGGGTCCCGCCATCTGGCAGAAACCCCACCTTAACCCCCACCTTTCCACCCTTCACCCAGCCCTCGAAACCAAAATAACACACCGAAATGTTCCCTGCCAGAACCAGCTATTGCTCTGCTGCCGCCGCCGAATTTGTATTTTGACCGTAGATTAACTTTTATTGCCCATCAGGGCTGCGACCGCGAAACGTGAGATGGCGACCTTTAAATGCCACAATGGCAGGAGAAATATTCGGATTGTGATGGATGCATTACTACACTCGATTAGCTTTAATTACCGAGAGGGGAAACCCCAAAAATCTCCCATGGCACAATGGCGTTCTCATTGTGGATATTAAGAAATTATCGTTAATAAACGGCCGTTCATTACGGCGGCCTGTACGGCTCTATCAAGGGACACAACTTTTCCTACGCCCTATTATGGAAATTCGGGGAATAGTGAAGGGACAAAAACAAAACAAACAGGGAAATTTGGGGACCTGGAAAAGTTAAAAAAACAAAACAAAACAAAAATAAACCAACAAAACAACATTTTACAGCACATTAAGAATAAGACCACTTCCATGGGCCCAACAACAACAACAACAACAGCAACAACGGCCACAATAACAGCAACAGCAACAGCAACATCAGTAGCAACAACAACTACAACAAAAGCAGCAGAAAAATTCCCAAAATCAACTGCTATAGCAATGACTAAAGCAAAAAGGTCCAGTTATCCAATACAATCACCTAAAGTAGTCTGTCTAACATCAACTTCAATTCTAACGCAACAGCCAAAGACGCAACAGCTATACAACCAGAAACAGCCCAAGTCACTTAGATATTAGCCATGTGTATAATAATACTATTATGTCGATGTCTAGGAGGGCAACATTACCAACTAATACAGTATAATAACCGCACGGTTAGTAAGTCTTTACCTTTTCTCGTCTTTGTGTATTCAAAATTTTAAGTCTCGAGTTTGTTTTGGAGGACATGGAAATGTTCTCTCCAGCCCGTTTATCATCACACATCGTCATTGCCTTTCTCACCCTTGATCAGAGCACGAACCACGAACAAACACTTTCCTCTGTCCCAACAACTACATTCCCTTATTGGATGAATTTGTACATAACAGCTTGCACTAAAAAGATAATTCCATCTTTTTAGACAACAAACATCCCTTTTTCCATCAAACAAAAACATCAGTCAGAAGTAAAAGACTTAGGCTTCTGATTTGTAACAAAGAAAGACACAGAAGGCCATTTTTACCATCATCCATCAAACGTCTTCCATCTTAACCATCTGACCTTTGACCATGCATCAGAATAACATTGAGTACGTATCTAGCTTAAGATTATTATTGTTTATATTGCTGCTCATTTATATCATGCGTGTGACTGTAAGCCTGCCTGTGTGTGCATGTTTGTGTGTGTATGTGTGTATGTGTGTGTGTGTGTGCGTGTGTGTGTATGTGTGTGTGTGTGTGTGTGTGTGTGTGTGTGTGTGTGTGTGTGTGTGTGTATGCGTGGTGAAATACCAAATCAATGTGCCAGGAACTGGATAATAAAGACGTATCTTATCTTATCTTTCCTGGGCTACCTCCTAACATTATCCCATGTCTTCCCACAGTTCTGCATCATGTTCATGAAGGCTTTTTTTCAGTATGGGCTAGTGAAAGTCAAACTTCTATCTGTCTTGCCCCTAAGAAAGCTCTTTTACTGGGCCAGATTTGGAATCTATATCATGTGTATAATTATTTCCGTCCCCAGGAACAACAGTCATGGTCAGATCGGTGACGGAACCAGGGCTGAGTCCCAGGTCCCCAAAACTGTGGACATTGAGGTCACTTTAAGTCAAGTGGCAAGCGGACCCAATCACGTTTTAGCCCTTTCTGGTGAGTTATCGTAGGTAGACTCAACCAAGAAAAGAGACATACAAGAGTAGATCCGTCGGACTTCTAAATTTGTATTTGTGCTTCTGAGGGTTCCTTTACAAACCTCATGAGTCTTTTCCTACACGGAAAAATTGGTCTCCCTCTCCAATCGTGAGTTTTCAAAGTATGAACTAACAGACGCTAAAGTTTACTATAGCTGATGAAACAAAATATGTAAATCAATTTGCTTCGTTTCATTACCAATTTGCCTTTCACTACAGAAATAAAATGAAGCTAAGAAAAAAAAAACTTGGTAAAAATAATAAGAGAAGAAAAGACACGAAAAAAACCCACAGCAACCCAACACCATTAACATTGCCGTTATTAAGAAAAACAGTGTGATCAAAAGAACATAGGAGACGATCTGCAGGGAAATGTGCTTCGCTCTCGCTGACAAAAAGCTCGATCATGGTATTGGAGAACCGAAACCCTTGGCCATCCACGCTTTGTCTACATAATGACTCCCAGCCGAGGTCTCATTTGTTATCAGGAGCTGTAATAAGGTTCTGCTCCTTGACCAAGGGCTAATACAAAGAACACCTTTTCTCATCAACCTTTTTACCTTTTTGCCCTGCCACTATAAGGCCAAGGAGAACAAAAGGGGCGTAATTCAGGACCACGTATTGTCCTGACTTTGTCGTGAATGCCCTTTGTGGTCCTCATGTCCACAGTGATGACTTCAGATTATCACGATGGCTTTCGAATATTGTCGTGTTTCCGTGGTGTGTTCATTGATGTATATATAGCATCTTTCCCAAGAAAGATAAGGCAATACGCTAAATAGGTTTGGGGCGCGGGGGGAGAAATAACAACCAAATCCATTTAAAGGACGATCTCAACAGCAGTGAAGGAAGGATGCGATTTTATTATAATAATAATAATAATAATAATAATAATAATAATAATAATAATAATAATAATAATAATAATAATAATAATAATAATAATAATAATAATAATATAATAATAATAATTTTAAAAAATAATAATCATAATAATAATCATAATAACATAATAATGATAATAATCACGACAACAATAAAGCTGTTCTTCTTGTTTCAATAATAACTGACATTGCGGAAGAAAAGGCACTTCGGGCTTAGAAGAGCGAGGCAGGCTCGGGTTCGGTGTTTATTGTCAGCTGATGAGGATGTCGTCGGAGGGACGTCTCCCGAGACGAATGACTGCGAGTCACTTTTGCGGAAGGCAGCACTCGCCTGGTTCTCTAGAGGAGCAGCCAGTCGAGTTGTTTAATGACTTTTGTCTTCGGCTTTTTTTTCCAAGGTTTGTAATAACAACTATGTTTTTTTGTTCACCGGGTTTTTTTTTCTCTTTTTAAATTGTATTCCTTGTGGTCTTTTCAGTGTATTATCCCAAAGAAAATGTTATTTGTCTTCGAGATTTTGCCTCTTGCACCTGTGAACTCGACTACTGGATTTATTGAAAATTTCTGTTTCTCTGACGCGCGTCGTGAATCAATGTCTTGGGCGAGGTTGTTCAAGCGATATATCCTCCGTTCTGAAGGAGTAGAGTGATTTGAGTAGTGTGTGTGTGTCTGTGTGTGTGTGTGGGGGGGGGGGGGGGGGGGTTGAAAAGGGGGAGAGAAGAGCTTCACAGGAAGTAAGGGAGACAAGTCTTGGCGAAGACCAGGCATGGATGGGGGTGGGGCGGGGAGAGACTGTAATAGTTATTGAATTAGTGATTTTGAGGCACTAAACATATTCATTCTCTCTCTCTCTCTCTCTCTCTCTCTCTCTCTCTCTCTCTCTCTCTCTCTCTCTCTCTCTCTCCATCTCTCTCTTTCTCACCCTCTTTCATACTATCTCTATCTCTATCCCTCTCAATATTATTATACATGTGTATATATTATATAAAACCACAATTATCAACAAATCTATAGTATGATGATTTCTCAGCAGCAGAAATTGGTCCAAACTTGCAACAACACTTAATTGAATGACGGCAAAATGGTGTCGTAAGACGGAGCAAAAGAAAAAAACCCAACAAAATAACAGACCCAGACGAAATAATTGTTAACGCAAGAATGATGAGCTCATCAAATATAGAGCTAAGGGCTGGCTCATGGGGCTGCCCAATCCTATATCTATTTCTTCTCCTCCTCTCTAATTCTGTCTGTCTCTCTGCCATAACTCTCCCTGAGATCTGTGATGTGAAAACAGTGCGTCTGGACGCCTGAGGGGGAATGTCTTCCCACCAGGACAGAGTGCCTTGCCTCACATACGTCACTGTGTCAAACAGTGCTAGGAGAATATTAATTAAACAATAATTAATATCAAGAAAGCAAAATAAATAGGGATTTCACGTTAAAATTTCAAAAAATTAATAAAACAAAACTTTACAGAACAAAGTTAAGTTGAGAGACGAATTGGCAAAATCCCCCCCTCCCCCAATCCCCCCACCCCCGCCCCCAAGCGTGGTAGATGGGACCGAAGTGGTGTTTGGGTGTTAAGAATTTAAAATATAATTTTTAAACAGAAGTATAGTTACTTCCACGTTTGTAAACATAGGACTAAGCCTATAGATTCTACTGTGCTCTTAAAAGAGATAGAGAGAGATTTCTCGATAGAGAAAGAGAGAGATTTTGAGAGAGGGAGAGGGAGACGGGACGGAGAGGGAGAGAGCTTTTGAGAGAGATTTTTTAGCGAGATTTTGAGAGAGAGAGAGAGAGAGAGAGAGAGAGAGAGAGAGAGAGAGGGGGGGGGGGGGGGGGGAGTGGGACAGAGGAAGAAAGAGAAAAAAAAGAGAGAAAATGGAGGGGAAGAGGGGGATAGAGAAAGAGAGACAGACAGGCAGGGAATACGAGACAGATGAAAACGTAATACAGAAATGGAACATAAGAAGAATTTGGAGAGAAAATGAAAAAAAAAATTTCTTGCATTGAAGACGTTGTTCGTAACTAAACAAATACAAAATTGCTTTCAATTGAAAATATGTTTCTTCATCAAATACTGTATCTTCCCTCCGTGACTTTAGTCTAAAATTTACGTTTAATGTGGAATATTTTCTCTGTTCAGGTTCATAGGTTAATTTCCTTTTTTTATAAATGATGGAATAGATTGTTTCTCCTCTCATTTTTGGCGAGAAAATGAAAACGGGAAATCCAGTTGGCAGTGAGTGGGATACGGTTCGCTAACGATGCTTTATACTGTAGCTATGAACCCAACACTGCACCGGTTGTCCCTACAGAACCCAAGGGACCCTGGAAAAGCTTCCTTTGTCCTCAGTGTTCGCTGCACATAATATTTTCATAATTCCTCTCGTTATTAGCAGCTATCGGGCATTCCTGTCCAGCCCCTGAGCTGATCGATTTTGCTCATTATTGAAACAAGTACGCTGCTCCGGGTTAGGTCGGCTGAAAGAGAAAGATTGCAAGAGAACGAAAAGATATTTTTTCGAGATCAAAGACCTCGCAGTCATAATATATGAAAGTGCCTTTATTCTGTCTCTCACGCCCTCTTGAGTAGAATGTTAAGAGGGAAAAAGGGCGAGCTCTTCATAAACCAGACTCCTCCTCGTGTGCTCGGTTCCAGGAGACAACGGTTGAGATCGGTCAGGCGCAGTCGTTTGATTTACGTTCTCAGTTGTCGCCTTGAGAGGCTTGAAAATACAAAGGAATAAAAAGGACAGCGAGTTGGTGGAGGGGGGTGAGTGGTGACGTGGCAGGCTGTAAAGTTGTGCTCAGAGCTCGTCAAGCAAACGTGTTGTTCACGGGAGACAAAAGATCGTTGGTGATCATGTCGGACATGCTTGGCCCCCGCACACCACATGGCCGCTGAACGTGTTCTACTTGTTCAGCACTCACTCACTCTGTGGATCTTGTTGCCTCTGGGCACTGGGCAGTCCACAGAGCTGGGGACAAGGATACAGGGTTCAATGGCAGCGTGATTGCACGCAATTGAAACTGGACTTACTGGGAGTTTTTATCTTCTCTGTAGGTGTTTACTAGTTACAAATTATGTCCTCAAACTCATAATAGTATCTCTGTCTTCCCCGAACGGAGGCGAGAAGTAAATCCTATTTTATAAGCATGTTGCTCTTTCTTCAAATGAGGAATCTAATATTAATGACTTCAGGGCAGTGTTACTTTCTAACAGCTAATACAGGAAGAATTGGCGACAGTCTCAAAGCACCCCCACCTTAAGTAAAAAAAACCAAAACCGCACTCCACAATCACGCATTTCCCTTTGACAAGCGGTGATAAAAAAATGGCAGCAGTGGCTATCTAGAAAAGTCAGTTGCACTGTTTGTTCTCTTCCCGTTTCTGTGGGCCAAGCAATCTCACCACCTCCGCATGGGGCGCTATTTGCCCGTGAGAGTGCCGTCTCTCGTTGGTCTTTCTGAATGTTTACCGGAGCTCATAGTGAATTGCATGTTACCACGGATACGCAGTTCGGTCGTGCACGTTGCACTGTCTCATTGAGCTTATAGAAAACGCATTGGCTTCCTGCTGGGGCGGAAGAGAAGTTCATGAGTTGCGCATTGTGTCGATGACATGTCTACGGCCAGGCTATCCGATCCCACTCTCCTGTGCCTTCATTTGTTTTTTGCTTTTTCATCAACACAAACGCCCTACTAGACACTGTACACTTTATGTTAGAGGCGGGGCATTTAATATTCCATGCATGGGGGGGGGTTTAAAGGTGCACTAGACTGAGAAGTAAAAGTATTCCATCGAGGGGATTCAACCTTTAGCGTAATCATGCCAAGTGCTAGACCAGTTGTGCCACAGTTGACAGCTGATCGAAAGTTATCCACCATAATGGTTATTCGCTAGTCTTGCTAAGTTCGCTGATAGACGCTGGTCCTACTTCCGCAATCATGATTCAAGAGCATTCAAACAGAACGCACACGGCGACTGCGAGTCATGACTACAGCGAAATAGTCAAAGTGAACTAAACAAATTGTTTCTCTACCTCTGTACAGTAATAGAACAATAAGTC